AGGTGAAGCTGGAAGGGCAGGGAGGGACAAGAGCATGCTGAGCCTGGTCATGGTGAGGATTTCAGGGCTTTATCCTACGACAGGCCTTCAACAGCATGTTCCAAGATACTTCAAGTCAGGACCACAGCTTACCCTGGGGGGAATGGGACAAGCAACCAGGACACTAGAAAGAATTCGAGTTTTATTTCAACTGAAATACATTCTATATCCCTGTCACTCTTCACTATGCATTTGATCTCATTCAAAGTCAATTTCAATGAAAGAAAGCATGGGAATTTATAAAAACCACCATTTAGTTGGCCTGCTAGGCTTGGATAGGAACTTGCGCAAGTACTTTCCAAATACCCTGTGCTTTTCCAAAGTTGCTTTATACCACTTTGCTTTTACAAAAGACCTCTGTTAGTACCTGTTTTTGATAACCAAAAGAAATCAGGTGATTTTTGCTTTTAAAAGTGACAAATGAAAATGGCAATCAGCATTTGGTTTGCTGTGAGCAGCTGAGAAGTAGCACTACCCCACTGGGGAGAGAGGCACCCCCAAGCTCCCTCCGCAGGAACCACGCTCAGCATCTCAGCATCAAGCTGCCATGGCTTTGAACTGTGTCTATGCGCATCTGAGCTTTACCTAGATTTTTTTTGTGTGTATCTGTAAGCATGATATGTCCTAAGGTAACTGCTTATTTGCTTTATGCCATTGTGGCTTAGGAAAGGTTTCATAGGAACACTCTCCTTTCAGATGGGGCGTGGGAAACCTGTGTATGGATATCCATGAACCTATGAACCTATGACTACTTTGTTTCCAGTAGTCATGTATGGATGTGAGAGTTGGACTATAAAGAAAGCTGAGCACCAAAGAATTGATGCTTTTGAACTGTGCTGGAGAAGACTCTAGAAAGTCCCTTGGACTGCAAGGAGATCCAACCAGTCCATCCTAAAGGAAATCAGTCCTGAATATTCATTGGAAGGACTGATGCTGAAGCTGAAACTCCAATACTTTGGCTACCTGATGCGAAGAACTGACTCATTGGAAAAGACCCTGATGCTGGGAAAGCTTGAAGGCAGGAGGAGATGACAGAGGAGATGGTTGGATAGTATCACCGACGCAATGGATATGAGTTTGAGTAGGCTCCAGGAGGTGGTGATGGATGGGGAAGCCTGGTGTGCTGCAGTCCATGGGGTCGCAAAGAGTTGGACACAAGTGAGTGACTAAACTGAACTGACTGATGGACACTTAAGGGAGTGGGGGCCTGTTTTATATTTTCTAGAAGCAACACTCCATGCAAGAACAATCCAGCGACACGCTCCATTTCACTGGTGCCAATGCATGGATGCTACAGTAAAAGTTACATGTTCATTCTGTGGCCTTTCCTGCAAGATCCTTAATAAGCGAAAATATTTTAAAAGAATACCAACAAAATTTTTCCAAGGATTGTTTTCATCATGATTGCTTTTTTTAGTATCATCTTGGGCTTCCCTGGTGGCTCAGATGGTAAAGAATCTATCTGCAATGGCAGGATACCTGGGTTCAATCCTTGGGTCAGGTTGATTCCCCTGGAGAAGGGAATGGCTCCCCAGTCCAGTATTCTTGTTTGGGAGATCCCATGGACAGAGGAGCCTGGGGGGCTAAAATCTATGCGGACGCACAGTCAGACATGACTGAGTGACTAACACTTCACTAGTCTAGACCAGGTAATGAATTTCAAAATGCAGCCACAAATGTATTTCCTCTAAAATAACATTTAAGCAGACAAGGAGACAAAGTTAAATAACAGCTGCCATCTTTATGTTCAAGGTATTGCACTGGACACCTTAAAATCTATCACTTCATTTAATATAACAAAGACTCTGAGAGGTGCACGTCGCTTAGTCGTGTCCAACTCTTTGCGACCCCATGGACTGTGGCCCACCAGTCTCCTCTGTCCATGGGATTCTCCAGGCAGAAATACTGGAGTGGGTTGCCATTTCCTTCTCCAGGGGATCTTCCTGACCTAGGGATCGAACCTGGGTCTCTAGCACTGCAGGCAGATTCTTTGAGAGGTGCGTGCCATACTCTTAATTCACAACATGGAAGCTGGGGCTTACAGAAGCCAGCGTTTCCCCCAAATATTTACACCTTAGACCTGCACTGTCCCATATGTTAGCCTTGGAGCCACGTGTGGCTGCCGAGCAACTGAAATACAGCTATAATACTTTATAAATACTGAGATGTGCAGTAAGTATAAACAGAACCCCAAGTTTTGAAAATTTAGTATGCAAAAGAAAATGATGAAAATACCTCAGTTTTTGAATAATGATTACATGTTGACATGACAGTATTTTAGAGTGGGTTAAATAAAATATATTATTAAAATTAATTTTACCTGCTTCACATTAAAAAAAAATTCAGCTACTAGATATTTCAAAACTACACATGTGGCCCACAATTATATTTGAATTGAATAGTACTGCCGTAGACCAAAGGCTGCATAATTGAATTTGTCAGTAAATGCCAAGTTCAAAGGCAGCCTGGTGCAGAGGAAGAGAAGAGTACATGGATTCATGCAGATTTGGTTTAAATATCCTCTCCACCAGTGACTAGTTTTTGGCAAAAAATATCAACTCTCTCTACATTTCACTTATGTCATCAGCATTATGGTGATATTAAACATCCTTAAACAACTGTTGTGTGTAATATGTAAAGCAGCTAACTGGCAGAGGGGAAAGAACAACTACAAATACCTCCTACAGCAACTGCTTAAAAACTGATCCTCAAAGAGAATAGAAAATGCACTTATTTGAAAATTACATTTTATTGTTTAAGTGGGAAAAGTTAAAGAATCAATACACTGATTGCCTGCTTTAGCATAATATATACTGTATTATAATATACATAAAATACACAGATCCTTTCTTTCAATATTGTTTAAAATATGTTATAGGCTGGGAGGCCAGATATGAGGTTAGGGTGAGGTAAAAAAAATATCAGGACACAGATGGGCCCAAGTGGTTCTTACGGACAATTATCTTGAGCTCATGAACTCCATGTCAGCTGATTTTTTTCAATCTTTTACATCAGGAACTGAGATGAGTGAGTAAAATAACATCAGGGCAAGTAGAGTTTTATGTTTTTTCTTCCTGGGTCATACTGCAAACAAATAAATTGTTCCAGTACACTAAGTTCAGACTAACTCATTATTGGTGATCTCAAATATACCAAAAGAAACTACAAAATCATGTTAACTATGCTATCCAATGACATTTTGCCCTATTCTGTCCCCTAGGCTCCTGTCAAGAAGTTTGCACTGGGCATGTGATTTTATCGATGTATGTATTATCTGTATATATGTAAATACAAAGAGTGGAGCAGTTGGGGCATTTACTTTAATGTGATATATGTAAGATTGACATGTGGCAATGTGTTTGATTGCCCTGTTCTATAGGGATTTTTTTTTTGTTGTTGTTGTTAATAGTAAGGGGGAAGTGTTAAAGATTTGAGTCACTTAAATGTAGCCTCTTAATATCACATACTTTAACACCAAAAGTATTTCTATGTTAACTATAGCAATTAACTTTAAGAAAATGATACTGAAGAAAAAAAAAAGCTATCAGATTTACAGATCTTAGAATATCATCAGAGACCATAAAAATATTCACTTTATTCTAGTTTGAAATTTAATGGAAGAAGTAATATACATAATTTTATTTTACCTATTAAAGTGCATATTCAATGAGTTAAGGAGGAGGGGTTTCAGGAGAGGGCTTCCCCTTTGATCTTATATGTGGCATCAAAAATCTACTTGTAATGAATTTTTGAACAACCCCTGAGGGCACATGACTTGGTATTTGCTCTTTCAAAATGAGTTGATTCAACTTGGCTAAAAATGAGATTATGTCTACAGTACACTTACAACTAGCTTTCAGCCAATGTCTATTAATTTAAGGTTATAGGTAGAATCGGGTAGAAAAACAAAATTACACTAGATCAATATTATTAGGGATTATTAATAATAAGAATAAAACAAAACAGTAATGTGCACTTAAACAGTAATTAGAAAAATCTGCTAAAACTAGGAGCTGAGACATTGCATTTCTGATTCTTGAAATTATAGGAAAAAATATAATCCATTTAAGAGAATACAAATATCGTAAGCCATTTAAGCTACCAGCCATATTTTCAAAATGCACACTTTAGAGAAAAAGAATTCCTATTAGGAAAGTGCTTATTTGCATTAACTTTACATTAGCTAATATTTGAGTCACACCTTTGCAGAAACTTGCTTTATTTCCAGGAATGCCTCCCCCTCCCCCCTTTTCTTTCTTTCTGTTTTTGAGAGTAATAAGGCAGCTAGACTAAAAATAGGGGGGAAAAGTTGTTGCATTCTTTAAAGTGAATGGTATATTTATGCCTCTATATACTAATATACTTTCTCCCACTGAGCCAAGTCTTCAAATCTGTCTTTCAAGTTTCATCTTAATTGCAGAGTTCATTTTTGTTAAAACGCCTTGGCACCATCCAGTCTTCTATGAAATGAGAAAGGTCTTTTTCCTTCGGACTTGACATGTTTACCACGTATGTGTGGGCAATTTTTGCCGTCAACTAACTGCAAAGGTCTTTTTGTTGTTGAATCTGAAAATGTCTCCACTATACTTGCACAGCTGCCCTCTTCCCAGCAGAAATCAACCCGCCCCTCTCCCCTCTGCGAGATTTAAACTTTCTTTGCTTTGGGGGTTCTGCACAAGCGCTGCTAGTAACATCCAAGAGACAAAGAGCTGGGCTTGTGGGATGCCAAATTTGAGTTGTGAAACAAAGCACTCAAATTTGAGATTCAAGAGGATGAGGATGATGCTGGTAAAAAAAAAAAAATTATGATAAAGCGTTATGATCCTAGAGCCGTCTCCCAAGACAGTTCCTTCAGCCCACGGCCACCCCAGAGCACGCGGGAGTGAGTTCTGATCCCCGAACAGGGGGGCTACTGGCCCCCCCACCGGGGAAGCCCCTGCCCGCGCCCCCGGCCCTCTCACCGCTTTACTCGGATGATCTGGTCCCGCATGGGCTTGATGTCCTGGAAGCTCTGCTGGTTGACGAGGCTGTAGACGAGGATGAAGCCCTGGCCGTTCTTGATGTACAGGTCCCGCATGGACGCGAACTGCTCGGTGCCCGCCGTGTCCAGGATCTCCAGAACCGACGGCGACGAGTCCACCTCGATCTCCTTGCGGTAGAAGTCCTCGATGGTGGGGTCGTATTTCTCGATGAAGGTGCCGGTCACGAACTGCACGGTCAGGGCGGATTTGCCGACCCCGCCCGAGCCCAGCACCACCACTTTGTACTCGCGCATCGTCCCTCCGCGGCCGCCGCCGCCGCCGCCGCCCGCGACATAGACCTACGCCCGCCTCGCTGCGCGCCCGGACCCTGCGCCGGCGGCCGGCCCCGCCGCCTCCCGCGGCCGCCCCCACCTCACGGCCGCCGCGGCCCCCCGGGCGCTGGCGGAGGCAAGCGCAGCCCTGGGCATAGGGGCCGAGCCGGGTGGCAAGGCGGCCCCGCGGGCGCCAGCAGGCGCTGAAGGCGAGCGGGTAGCTGGAGCTAAGGAGCCGCCCGAGACGCCCGAACCGCGGGCCCGCAGTGCCGCCCGCTCGGCCGCCCCGCCCCGCCCCTCGCGCCTCCACGCCCAGCTCCCCGCCCGCCGCCGCCGCCGCCGCTGCTGCTCTTCGCGGCGGCGGAGCGCGCGCCCGAGCCCGAGCTGCAGCGCTGCCGGGGGGCGGGGCCCGGCGGCCCGGGGGCGGGGCCCGGCGGCGAAAGCCCCGCCCCTGCGCCCGCGTCGCCTAGGCGACCGACCGCGCGCGCGCTCCCGGGAGGCTTAGATAAACAACCACCTGGGCCACCCGACAACACCCCACCCCGTCGAACCCAGCGGGTTTGAGGCGTACTGAGCATGCGCAGTTCTCCACCCGGCGATGGGAGGTTTTTACCTGAACAGGCCACGTTCAAGACTGGCGGAGACAGGCTGTTGGAGGGGCCAGAGCAGGCTCCGAGATTTAACCTTAGGCGAGAGTGAGAAGCGAGACACCGGCAGGGCCCAAACGGCGACCCTGGCACGAGGGCCTGGCTGGACACCACCCGGTCCGTCAGCATTCCTGAGAGATTTGTTTTTATAAAGATAAGGAGAAGGCTCTTTGTTTTAGGGAGGAGCAGGCACACCACGAAAGGAAGCTTTTATTTTACGCCTTAGGACACTCAGGGAGACGCGAGAAGCCCCAGGGAGCTTACTGCCCGAGTCAGTGAGGTCGCGGTAGCCGGGGCCCACGCCCGGTGACGTCGCCGGGGGTCCCGCCCACCTTCCCCAGCCCCGCCCTTTTCTTGGCCTGAGAGAGAGTCGAGCTCTTCCCACGCCCTGTCACCACGGGCGCGTGGGAAACCGGGAGAGCGGAGCCCTCAGCCACAGCCCCAAAGCCCGGGGACACCTCATAGCAACAGCCAGCCGGGACAACCTAGTAGGAAGCTAGGAGTCCATCTCAGCCAACCAGCCCACCTCTGTGGACCCCGTGGTGCCACTCTTGGCCAATGGAGAGCCTCCTTATACCACGTTGCCATCCATCAGCCAGTGGGGGTAAACGTCCAGTTGCAGGCTCCGCCCTCCCATCGCCAACTGCGTGGCCAGGATGGGCCTTTGCGCCTGAGCGTGCTCTGCCAGCCAATGGTAGGTGAGCTCACGCATGACGGAGACTTGGTTTGAGCCAATCAGAAATCGCGATTCTCTTGCCAACCCAGACTGGTAGTATCAGACGGGCGAGTTCGTGGGGCTTGGGTGGGGTCATTGATTGAGGTGGCAGTCGCAGCACCCTACTCTGGGGAAGGAACGAGATGAACTGTAGGCGAGAGTGATGAATTTCGCTTTAATGTCGTCTCCGTGGCATTCTGCCTAAATGGTGCACACAGAAATAGTGCTGAGGGATGTGGGCTAAATCGTGGGGGTGAATCGAGATAACAGTATCTTGTATTTAGGATGAGAAATTTTCTGGTCGTTAGGGAGACATACTGCAGCAGTTGCATGGGTTCTCCAGGCGTGCCTCCTAAAATGGTTTTAGCAACTCACTTTTGCAACTTACTCTTCTCTTTCTCCCATCCATAAAGTCAAATTTAGGAAAACTTATGTCACTAAATATTCCTGGATTGTATTTTGCAATAACTGCTTATTGGGTTTACTGTTCTTAAACTATGTCCTTCTCTAACCAGTCTACACCCATCCATTACTAGTACACGTTTCTTGGGAATTATAAATTTGTATATTTCTAGGGTTTGATCTGGGGCTTCCAGTGGTAAAGAATCCCCTAGCAATACAGGCGACACGACTCACACAGGAGACTGAGTTCAATCCCTGGGTCGGGAAGATCCCCTGGAGAAGGAAATGGCAACCACTCCAGTATTCTTGCTTGAAAAATCTCATGGACAAAGGAGCCTGGTGAGCTATGGGCCATGGGATTGCAAAAGGAGTCAGACACAACTTAGCGACTAAAAAACAACCACAGCGTGGTTTGATCATTGCATGCTTCTTCACCCTTTCTGGTCCCCACAGTGTCATCTTGTAGAGAGGGTTTTGGTCTGTGTTAATCAATAAAACAGATGTTCTTTTAAAATCTTTTTTTCATCAATTATTGAACTACTATAAAGATGTACTCAAATTTAGCAGTGTCCTAACAGCTGTATCGCTCTGTCATCTTAAAATGGATAGCCTACCGTTGCATTACGTTGGTATAGTATAACACCTCAAGTTTGGGCTTACAAGAATTGCAGGGAAGTGTCCTGTCAAAATATGTAGTAATATATAAATGAGTCATTATTTCTTGATTACATATCAAAATATGAGAGTTATATTTGAGCCACCAGAATCAACAGTGAGGGTAGATTGCAAAAGAACTAATCAAGAAGAATCAAGAGGAAAGTTTTAAGAGAATTGAAACCAAAGAGGATCTGTTATCCCATCTTAAACTAGTAATATGACTAGGTGAATTAAAATTAAGAGTTCACATGGGTTTGAAGTAAAGCTTCACATCTAAGCTTTTTTGGCAGGCATGTTTCAAGATGATTTAGTAGGTGCATACAGTGTACAACTAGCTTTTTAGACTTTTAATATATTGTGTAAAACTTACATGCTTTTTGTAGTTTGTTTGTAAGATCTATACTTCTTTTGCAGAAAAGACATACTGTCTCTTTTAATATCCAACTTGAGTATTGTGTTAATAAGTTCCTAGATATGTTGGGGTTTAAAATAGAGCCAAGAAACATCAACTTTCTCTCTTTGTATAGTTCTTTACTTCCTATGTAGTACCTTCTAATACAATGGAACTGAAAAACCATTCACTTTGCAAGGAGTAAAAGTCCAGCAACTTTTTTGTTGTTGTTGAGAAATTTGCACTGAGGGACTTGTTTGGTGGTCCTGTGGCTAAGACTCTGCATTCACAATGCAAGAGGCCTGGCTTTAACCCTTGGTGGTGTGTGCTTCAGTTATGTCTGACTCTCTGCAACCCCATAGACAATGGCCTGCCAGGCTCCTCTGTGCATGGGATTCTCCAGGCAAGAATACAGGAGTAGGTTGCCATTTCCTTCTCCATTAATCCTTGGTCAGGGAACTAGATTTCCCATGCTGCCACTAAGAGTTCACATACCTCAGCTAAGAGTTCACATGTTACAGCTTAAAGATCCTGCATGTTGAAATAAAGATCCTTCCTGCTGCAACTAAGACCTGGTGCAGTGAAAATAAATGAATAAATAAGCACATAAATAAGTTCGCATTGGGATTGTGGGTCCAGAATGTACCCTTAAGCTACTGTTTTCATTTCTTAGGTCCCCAGGAGTTGAGAAGCTATGACCTGGAATGCATCTGTTAGAAGTTGTCACACACAAAAAAATAGTGAATGGAGTGCCCATTTACTCCTCTTAGCTTTAGAGAGAGAGGAGAAGTTTTGGGGGACATTTCTTAGGTTATTTTCCCTGCTCTTTCATCAGTGTGGACTTTATTGATGAGGAGAAGTGTAGAGACTGCGGCTCTTGGAGTAGTCGTACCTCATTTATATTTCTCACAATGACAGGCCTCAGTTTTCATTCTCAGTGTTGCCATAAAGATAGATTTTTAATCACTCAGACAAACATGTTAAGTAGAAGCATATTTTCTTACTTATTCTGTCTTGGTCATGACCTGATTTGAGGCTCAGTGTGAAATGCTGGATGAAGAATTAGCTGCTGTAAGAAAGGATGTTGAAATGTGGAGAAAATTTTGAAGATTTGGGTGGGAATTGGGTGTGTATCTTCTGATCCCTTAATCGTGTTGATTGCTATGATAGCATGAACTATCTATTCTGAGAGTGATTTTAGGAATAAAATATCTCCATTCATTTGTTTGTGGAAAACAAAATAAAAATGAGATAAAATGAAATTGAATTTTCCCTGAGAGTGGTAAATCTGCATGCTAGTGAAAACTTAATAGTGTACACTGACCCTTTAGGATCTCTTTAGCTTCAGAAGTGCACTGCTGGGAGAAGGAGAGAGAGAGAGAAACTTCATTTCTCCTCTCCTCACTGAACCTGAGAGTTATCTCACCTATGCCCATATACCCTCAACTGTCACACTTGTGTTACCATGGAAACCCAGCTCCTTTCTTTGCTTCTGTGAAAGATGTTGGAAAAGGTGGAATGAAGTGGGGAATACTCTGTGTTCTGGGACTTTCTGGCAATAGCAAGAAGCGAATATGCAATGAATTTAATGTAAACAAGTGAGAGGGCATTTTTAAATGACCAGAGATTCTTGGCTATAAGACCCTGATTTCTATTGTTTTCTATAAAAGCCAGTGTATTCTGACTAGCCATAAAGGGGAAGGACAAATCAAATACATCTAGAACCTATGAAATGCACCCGGCAGTTATAAAGAGAGCGGAAGACATTTTCTTGGCCTTCCAGGCTCCAGTATAGGTTAGAATCAAAAATATTCATAAAGAGTGAAATGGAAGGGGCAAAATAAATGTGTGTCTCTTTTGAAAATATGTCTCAGTACTTTAGCAAAGAATTAGAATGCAGAAATGCAGAAATTGAGTATGTAAACAAATCAGTGAAAAAAACCTTTTTGTTGAGAAATTTTTCAATAGGCAATTTTAAGCAGCAAAAAAAAAAAAAAAAAAAAAAACAAACCCTGAAGGAAAGGCTTAATGATTAAAATATAAGGGAAAGGAAAAAAGAAAGAAAAACCTTGAAGAATCTTAAGAGCTTGAAGGTCCGGAGGAACATATGTGCCTGTGTGGTCAGTCATGTCTGACTCATTGCATTCATGGGAACTGTAGTCCATCGGGC